AGCCGCGTTTATCGTTTTAATGCCATTGAACACGTCTTTTGATCCGATTGACAGCTACGGTGAGACGATCTCCCTAGAAGCTCCGTAAAGGTATGTGTTGTGATGTCTGTGTTTGCTTCCCCTGTCGCGAGTTCGGATCACTCAGTGATGATACTATATACCAAATAATCTGTGGAACCTCAGCTTTAATCAGATATCTTGTAAATGCAGCTACGATAAGTAATAATAAGGGTACTTTTATCTTAAGTTCTGTGCCAAAGTCCGTTAGCATTTTTCGCTCAGGGGTCATTTAGATGCTTCTTATGAGACTTGTGTTTTGTTTTGGTAAAAATGGTTTATATCGTCAGTTAGCTGAGATTATTTCCGTTAATCTGGTATAACACATTAATAGGTTCTTAAATATTAAGATTCCCTGAGACACGGTGTCTTGAAAAAAAAAGTAAAGTACCCGCCGGGACCTTGGGGCTTAACAGGTTCAAAATAACGCGATATCAGTTTTTTTCAATATCGTGCGGCCCTACTTTCAACTGTTCCCTACTTTCATTTGTCCATGTCCTTATTACTTCCTTTTCTGGTTGACTTCCCTTGAGTTTGGTCTTATACACTGGTATCATATTCACAACATTATGATCAGAGTTCAGTATTGGTGGTCTGTATTTAGACACATAGGCTCCTTTATCATTAACAAAGCATTTGTCCAGGATATTGTCTTTCCTGCTGTGATCCCTAACATACTGCTGGAACCCAGGTAACACAGTCTCCAGGCGACATTGCTTCATGTCCCCGAGCACTATTACCGGTGCATCGGGGTGGCTGAGTTGCAGCTCGTGAACACAGTGTCCTCTGCCGCTGGGAGGCACGTAAACAACAAACAGTAAAATACACCCGAATTCTCTAGTCAGATAAAAGGGTCTTTACGTCATGCCGAGAATTTCTACGTTGGGATTGCAGGTTTTACATTTTACTGAGTATGATCGGCACCACAGATCATTAATATACACACAAATACCGCCTCCTCTGGTTTTCCCCGAGTTCGCATCCCTGTCTGCTCGAACAAGGGTGAGTCCGGGTACTTCAAAGAGAGATTCAGGCATCGTAGATTGTCGCCAACTTTCCGTGAAACACAATAAAGAGGCCTCTAAAAATTCATGACAGTACCTTGTGTATGTCCTTAGTGTGTCCACGTTGTTGCTCAATGAGCGCAGGTTTGTGAGAATGATGGATGGAAGTGGTGGCCGGCTGAATCTCCGCTGTATCTCTCTGAATGCCTCCCCTCCTTCCTCGTCTCTTTTCCTGTTGTTTCTAAGCGGCTCCCGAGGGATTTATCCAATAACGAAGAGCACAGATGGCTTGGTGTATTCGTAGGAGGTTGATCGCATTGTAGCTCTAGCATAGCCTCACGTCTGTAGCAGCGTAGAGGCCGGGGCTCCTCGCCATACCTGTTCGTGCTGTCACTCAGGTGTGTCTTGGAAAGTTGAATGGCCAGACATGGTCTGCAGAAGGCAAATGTAATCCACAGGATCAAAAGCATGGTCTCTCAAAATTACGTTTCATACAGACAAGACAAAGTTTAGACAATAATTAGACCAAAAACACAAGAGGAACGGAGCATACTTAGACTCGCAGTGACAGGATGCCGTCTCCCTCTGTCTCCTGTATACCAATTTTTTGAGAATTTTGCCGTGATCCCAACTGTCTGTTATCAGCCAGCAGCCAGGGAGCAGAAATCAGCAGATCTGCCTGCACTGAGTGTGTGTGTGTGAGGAAGTCACACGGGGGCTTAACGTAACGGCTTAACGTAACGGCTCCACGGATTGGTCCATTTCGTTCCGGGTACATGCTTACGTAATCTCGTACCCGGAAGAATCAAATGGATGATGACCTTTCACCAACGAGGCGTTTTGGGGAGGTCTTCTCTGTGTTAGAGTTTTACTCGCTACAGGCTGTACTTTGAGGGTTTTGACTCTGCACACCGTTTACATGCATAAAAACCTTCATAACACACAAGGGGACGGGTAATAACCGGAAAAGCATGACATGGGACCTTTAACTCAAGGTTTATATTAAGTGAGTTTTTATTGTGTTAACTTGTGTATTTATGCTTTTTAGATTGACTTTCTCTCTTTCTCTGTCCGTCTGTTCTAGAAACCGAAAGGAAGAGAGAGACGTCACAGCTGTCAGCAATGTGACAAATATTTTACAACATCTGGAAATTTAAATTCACATGGGAGAAAAACCGTACAGCTGTGAAGAGTGTGGTAAAACTTTCATTAGATCAAGTCATCTCAAAACACATCAACTATTCATACTGGAGAAAAACCGCACAGCTGTGAAGAGTGTGGGAAAACTTTCACGACATCAAGTCATCTCAAATCACATCAATGTATTCATACTGGAGAAAAACCTTACAGCTGTGAAGAGTGTGGGAAAACTTTCACGACATCAAGTGGTCTCAAATCACATCAAGTGTTCACTCAGGAGAAAAACCTTACAGCTGTGAAGAGTGTGGGAAAACTTTCACTAAATCAAGTAATCTCAAAAGACATCTTCGTGTTCACTCAGGAGAAAAACCATAGTGGTTTTAAGAGTAGGAGCCGCATTTAAGCATATTTTGTTTTTTCAGTTTACAATAAACAATTCCCAACTATTGGCCTTGTGTTGGGTAATCCTTTTTTCCATTACAGATCCCATCCCAACAGCGCCATCTGTTGACGTAACGTCAGAATTGACAGGCATAATGTTCACTGTTCCTTTAAGTTTCGTTTTCTGGCTGTCTGTCTGCCGACAGCACGCTGTTTCAAACAGCTGACATGATTGCAGCATTAAATCCAAGCCATTGTCCGATACAGCTTATGTATCCAATATACGATCCAGTTTTAATGCTGCTCATACCTACATGCACACAACAGTCTATGGGGCAGCAACCATTCAGACAAAAAGAGTGTGTTGGAGTAGTGTCTCTACTTTAAAGAGTCCTCTCCTGCTGATGTTCAGGTGTATATCAGTGTGTAGTGTCTCTACTTTAAAGAGTTCTCTCCTGCTGATGTTCAGGTGTATATCAGTATGTAATGTCTCTACTTTAAAGAGTCCTCTCCTGCTGATGTTCAGGTGTATATCAGTGTGTAGTGTCTCTACTTTAAAGAGTCCTCTCCTGCTGATGTTCAGGTGTGTATCAGTATGTAGTATCTCTACTTTAAAGAGTCCTCTCCTGCTGATGTTCAGGTGTATATCAGTATGTAGTGTCTCTACTTTAAAGAGTCCTCTCCTGCTGATGTTCAGGTGTATATCAGTATGTAATGTCTCTACTTTAAAGAGTCCTCTCCTGCTGATGTTCAGGTGTATATCAGTGTGTAGTGTCTCTACTTTAAAGAGTCCTCTCCTGCTGATGTTCAGGTGTATATCAGTATGTAATGTCTCTACTTTAAAGAGTCCTCTCCTGCTGATGTTCAGGTGTATATCAGTATGTAGTGTCTCTACTTTAAAGAGTCCTCTCCTGCTGATGTTCAGGTGTATATCAGTGTGTAGTGTCTCTACTTTAAAGAGTCCTCTCCTGCTGATGTTCAGGTGTATATCAGTATGTAGTGTCTCTACTTTAAAGAGTCCTCTCCTGCTGATGTTCAGGTGTATATCAGTGTGTAGTGTCTCTACTTTAAAGAGTCCTCTCCTGCTGATGTGCAGGTGTATATCAGTGTGTAGTGTCTCTACTTTAAAGAGTCCTCTCCTGCTGATGTTCAGGTGTATATCAGTATGTAGTGTCTCTACTTTAAAGAGTCCTCTCCTGCTGATGTTCAGGTGTATATCAGTGTGTAGTGTCTCTACTTTAAAGAGTCCTCTCCTGCTGATGTTCAGGTGTATATCAGTATGTAGTGTCTCTACTTTAAAGAGTCCTCTCCTGCTGATGTTCAGGTGTATATCAGTGTGTAGTGTCTCTACTTTAAAGAGTCCTCTCCTGCTGATGTTCAGGTGTATATCAGTGTGTAGTGTCTCTACTTTAAAGAGTCCTCTCCTGCTGATGTTCAGGTGTATATCAGTGTGTAGTGTCTCTACTTTAAAGAGTCCTCTCCTGCTGATGTTCAGGTGTATATCAGTGTGTAGTGTCTCTACTTTAAAGAGTCCTCTCCTGCTGATGTTCAGGTGTATATCAGTGTGTAGTGTCTCTACTTTAAAGAGTCCTCTCCTGCTGATGTTCAGGTGTATATCAGTATGTAGTGTCTCTACTTTAAAGAGTCCTCTCCTGCTGATGTTCAGGTGTATATCAGTGTGTAGTGTCTCTACTTTAAAGAGTCCTCTCCTGCTGATGTTCAGGTTTATATCAGTGTGTAGTGTCTCTACTTTAAAGAGTCCTCTCCTGCTGATGTTCAGGTGTATATCAGTGTGTAGTGTATCTACTTTAAAGAGTCCTCTCCTGCTGATGTTCAGGTGTATATCAGTGTGTAGTGTCTCTACTTTAAAGAGTCCTCTCCTGCTGATGTCCAGGTGTATATCAGTATGCAGTGTCTCTACTTTAAAGAGTCCTCTCCTGCTGATGTTCAGGTGTATATCAGTATGTAGTGTCTCTACTTTAAAGAGTCCTCTCCTGCTGATGTGCAGGTGTATATCAGTATGTAGTGTCTCTACTTTAAAGAGTCCTCTCCTGCTGATGTTCAGGTGTATATCAGTATGTAGTGTCTCTACTTTAAAGAGTCCTCTCCTGCTGATGTTCAGGTGTATATCAGTATGTAGTGTCTCTACTTTAAAGAGTCCTCTCCTGCTGATGTGCAGGTGTATATCAGTATGTAGTGTCTCTACTTTAAAGAGTCCTCTCCTGCTGATGTTCAGGTGTATATCAGTATGTAGTGTCTCTACTTTAAAGAGTCCTCTCCTGCTGATGTTCAGGTGTATATCAGTGTGTAGTGTCTCTACTTTAAAGAGTCCTCTCCTGCTGATGTTCAGGTGTATATCAGTGTGTAGTGTCTCTACTTTAAAGAGTCCTCTCCTGCTGATGTTCAGGTGTTTATCAGTGTGTAGTGTCTCTACTGTTAACATTCAGGTAAATGTGTTACCAATTTGTGTTATTTGTTGTGCATGACCGGAAGCCAATAGCGTAACAGGTTAACCTGTGTCTCTCTTCCTTATTTCTCTCTCTGATAAATACATCTCCTTTAACAGTCAGCATATTCCTGTGGATGAGGAAGGACACCAGTATGCTGTTGTTTACTCCTTGTTGCAGACAGTCAGAACATTACTCCAAGCTCGAGCTAAGACAACTCGCACAGGAGGCATGGTAGCCGGGCGTCTGCCTAATGAATACATGTAAATGTGAGAAGACGTCGGAATCAATGAGAAGGGATATCAGCCGTAATGCTAGCCGACAGTGGATGCGCCTCACATGCAAATTCTGGTGACTCCGATAGACCAGGCTGTGCACATGGCTGTGGAGTGTGTTGGGCCACAATGGAGCAGATTTGGGAGGCAGAGGAGTGAGGCTGTCTTTGGCAGGTGACCCCGGGTGATGCACACAAGTGGTGGTGCAGTCACCCCTGCCTGTTACCCAGTGGGAGCTGGATGTCAGGTTTGTTGAAGGCTTGTACTCACAGCTTGAATCCCTGTTGATGATCCTTCCCTTTGTGTGGAGCCCAGATAACTCACTGTATTTATTGACTCGCTTTGACATCTACACTCTACTTTCTTCCCTCAGAAGTGAACAGCTTTAAAGGGATTTCCCTTTGGTTTCAGATATCTTCAAAGCTTTAATTAAAATACTTTATAGTTATATGCATCCTAATCTTATGCAGACACATTTTCCTATATTGATGGAGAGCTAGTCTTTATGAACAACAATAAAATAACGATAAAATGGACACATCGGAAATACTAAAATGGAGCCTGACTTACATTTTTTAAATCCATATACAGCATTTCATTAAACAAGTTCTTAGATTCAACCTCTGCAAATCACCCATGAAGGGTAGGCCCCTTTGGCGTAATCCAGAATGTGTCCTTGTATTCAAGTCAAAACATCGCTGCTTTTAAAGAAACAAACAACATATTTTTACCAACATTGAAAATGAGTACAAATATACACAGAACATGATGCTAAAATTGTCCTGCTAGATTCACAGGGACCTGAAGGAGAGCGGAACTTTGCCAGGCTTCCATTTGTTAATATTTATTTTGGATTCAACACCATGTAGCCTGTCATCCTCGCCAACAAACTGGTCACTCAAACACCCTGAAAACCAACACAAGCTCACTACAAGGGTGTTTTCCTATCCCTCCTCCTGTTCATGCTCGATGGTGACTGTGAAAGCATCCATCCAAACTGCCAACTCATTAAATGTGCTGACTACACAGCGCTTCTCTCAGGCTCTGAGCAGGAACACGGTTCTTCTCTATGATTTTAACGTTAAATGGTGCAACAATACAATGCTGGATTTCAATTTCACTCAGAGGTGGTTGATTTCAGGATGCAGTCCAGACAAGGAGTTGGATGGTGTGAATATCTTGGAATCATCTTTGACATTTGAGCAAAACACAGAAGCCTTATCAAGAAAGCAAACCTGCATCCACATGCTTTCAAGAACTGAATTCCAAAAACCCTTCTACAGTTCTTCAGCGAGTACATTCCGTGTTTCTCCTTCACATGTTGGTTGCCATCACTCACTGTCATAACCAGAAACCGTCTCCATACCACAATTAACACCTGTTCCTAAAACTGGAGTGCACATTACGAAGCCTCATTACTAGCTACCACTGCGTGTGCCTCGCATGTTTTAATGTTGTGAGACTATGTGTGTCATCACAGCGTTAATTTGGCTCTCTGTTGAAAGATGCTGTCACCTCAACAGCGCGCAAGATTCACAGTCACGGAACTTAACAGGTTTGTAGTTCAGATCAAAATGTAGAGCCAGTGCAAAGGTGAGCATGGCAGTGGTGCATAAGTAAACGGAAAGGTAATGAGGAAAGGACCTACAATTTATGCCATGGCCTGAATTGGTATTGCGGGTGGCCTCTAGGTCTGTGAGCAGCAGGGACCATGACATCATGTAGGATAACACCCGTAATCTCCACCCACAGATCCAGATGCCTTCTTTCGTGGTGTAGCCTACGCAGTTTCTCTAGAAATGGGCACAGAGCTCTGTTCATTCCATAAGACCTCCGCTGGACTAAGGATCTCAAGAACAATAATTAGCTCTATCTGGATCTGCCATGTAGTCTTTTCCCCTACTTATTATTTCATTTATCATTATTCTTTTTAATAACGACCTACTTACATTTTAAATATAACTGTACTATCAGCTCAACACTGTTCCATACAGCTATTTGCTTATAATTGTCTATAATTACTCAAGCCTAAAATGGGTTCGCTTTCTTGGATTTATGACGTTTATTGGATAAGGTGAATTGGAAGAGCCAGATGACCGACATGTATTCAGTCCAGTCTATGACACTGTCCTGCAGTGTGGGACAAGGGGTCAACATTGCATTTGTATACACTTTCCCTCTAAACCAGTGTTTGCATATTTTCTTTATTGTAAGATCCCTCTTGTACTAAAAGGGTTTTAACATTACCAGATTGTTTGTTATATAATTGTACGATGAAGCTGTTTTTAATTAGATTCATAACAAATCAATTGCTCACTTTGTGTAAAAGTTCTAATGCTGGGATTGATCATTCCACAACTCGTTAGCGACAAAGCCCTACATTTGTGAAACACAAAGTGACAAGTTTAACAGCTTTTAGGGGATGGCAGTGAATCACTAAACTGTCCAGGCTGACTGTACGGCTGCATCTTGTTGGTTTTCAATGAGCTCGCTTCCTTTCTCCCCTTATTATCTCCTGTCTCCCACCGTGAAGTAAATGGGAGGAGGTTAAAAAACGAAAGCACGTAAGTGAAGGACAGAGAGAGGAGACGTGAACAGAATCATGACACCAGTTTCCTTTGGTTGTCTCTTTCACAAACATACATTATACTTCATAAAGCATTTTGATCGTTTACATTTCTTAATATTATGTATTAAACAGAATTGCGTTGCTAGGCAACAGCATGGGTCCATTCTTACTTCCTGTCAGCTGATGCATTCGCTGACATCAGCAAATGGAACCTTCAGATTGATGACATCATCTTGGCCTTGATGCTTTAGAAGTTTGCAGGTCTCAGCTGTGACGGTGAATTCATCAGAGCGTCAGAGCATCAGTCAGAAGGCAGAAGGAACTGTTCCAGCTAATGTCAGATCATTGCAGAAATAGGTTTTGTAGCAAGCTAACATTAGGTAGACTTGCACGTCTATTTTAACGAGATAATCTAAGTGAACTCCATTTTTGTGGCTTTAATTCAGTTGAACAATTATATTCAGTTTGCTTAACAACAGGTCATTTCATCACCGCAGTAGAGATGGAGATGAACATTAGAGATGAGATGGAAGTCAAGCTCGAGATTCTGCAAAAAGAAAATCAGGAAATCAAGTTGTTGCTGGAGCAGGAAAGGACTTTAAGGAATAAGCTTCAGATTGAAGGCGCTAAGAGGAAGGAAGCGATGCTGAAAGCATATACAGAGAATGCAGCTGAGCTATCTGGGCAAAATGTGAACGTGAAAGTCCAGGAAATTGAGCACAACGTCTTGCGCGTCAACAATGAGGACCTGAACATGAAATACGGAATGCTCCAGAGGTCACACAAGAAGGTCGAAGCAGAGATGGCTGCCTTGAGAAAGGCAAACCAGGAACTCAAACAACTGAAGGAGCATTGTGTTGAGGAGAAGGTGGACAAGAAGGAAAATGAGGTGAAGGTGGAACCAGGAGTGAGGCACAATGTGAAAATGAATGCCCTGGAAATTGAGCAGAAAGTTTTGCGCGGAAACTATGACGAACTGAACATGAAATATGAAAAGCTCCTCAAGATGCACGAGAAGGACAAAGCAGAGATGGCCACCTTGCAAAAGGCAAACCAGGAATTCGAACAACAAAAGGAACGCTGTGTTGAGGAGAAGGATGCAGAGATAGCAGCCTTGCTGAAGGAAAACCAAACACTGAAACAAGAGAAGGAGCATTGTGTGGAGAAGGAGGCGAAGGTGGACAAGAAGGAAAATGAGGTGAAGGTGGAACCAGAAGTGAGGCACAATGTTAAAATGAATGCCCTGAAAATTGAGCAGAAAGTTTTGCGCGGAAACTATGAGGAACTGAACATGAAATATGAAAAGCTCCTCAAGATGCATCAGAATGACAAAGCAGAGGATCTCAAACAACTGGAAGAACCCTGTGTTGAGGAGAACGCTGTAGAGATGGCTTCTTTGCGTGAGAGAAACCAGGAACTCCAACAACAGAAGGAGCGTTATGTTGAAGAGAACGCTGTAGAGATGGCTGCTTTGTGTGAGAGAAACCAGGAACTCCATTTACAAAAGGAACGTTATGTTGAAGAGAACGCTGTAGAGATGGCTTCTTTGCGTGAGAGAAACCAGGAACTCCAACAACAGAAGGAGCGTTGTCTTGAGGAGAAATCTGTAGAGATTGCTGCTTTGCGGGAGAGAAACCAGGAACTCCATTTACAAAAGGAACGTTATGTTGAGGAGAAATCTGTAGAGATGGCTTCTTTGTGTGAGAGAAACCAGGAACTCCATTTACAAAAGGAACGTTATGTTGAGGAGAAATCTGTAGAGATAGCTGCTTTGCGGGAGAGAAACCAGGAACTCCATTTACAAAAGGAACGTTATGTTGAGGAGAAATCTGTAGAGATGGCTGCTTTGTGTGAGAGATACCAGGAACTCCATTTACAAAAGGAACGTTATGTTGAGGAGAAATCTGTAGAGATAGCTGCTTTGTGTGAGAGAAACCAGGAACTCCATTTACAAAAGGAACGTTATGTTGAGGAGAAGGATGCAGAGATAGCTGCTTTGCTGAAGGAAAACCAAACACTGAAACAAGAGAAGGAGCATTGTGTGGTGAAGGAGGCGAAGGTGGACAAGAAGGAAAATGAGATGAAGGTGGAACCAGAAGTGAGGCACAATGTTAAAATGAATGCCCTGAAAATTGAGCAGAAAGTTTTGCGCGGAAACTATGAGGAACTGAACATGAAATATGAAAAGCTCCTCAAGATGCATCAGAATGACAAAGCAGAGGATCTCAAACAACTGGAAGAACCCTGTGTTGAGGAGAAGGATGCAGAGATGGCTGCCTTGCAAAAGACAAACCAGGAACTCAAACAAGAGAAGTTGCGTTGTGTTGAGGTGAAAAATGCAGAGATAGTAGTTTTGCATGAGAGAAACCACGAACTGGAAGAACAGAAGGAACGCTTTGTTGAGGAGAAGGATTCAGAGATAGTCACTTTGCATGAGAGAAATCACGAACTGGAACAACAGAAGGAACGTTTTGTTGAGGAGAAGGATGCAGAGATAGTCACTTTGCATGAGAGAAACCACAAACTGGAAGAACAGAAGGAACGTTTTGTTGAGGAGAAGGATGCAGAGATAGTCACTTTGCATGAGAGAAACCACAAACTGGAAGAACAGAAGGAACGCTTTGTTGAGGAGAAGGATGCAGAGATAGTCACTTTGCATGAGAGAAACCACAAACTGGAAGAACAGAAGGAACGCTTTGTTGAGGAGAAAGATGCAGAGATAGTCACTTTGCATGAGAGAAATCACGAACTGGAACAACAGAAGGAACGCTTTGTTGAGGAGAAGGATGCAGAGATAGTCACTTTGCATGAGAGAAACCACGAACTGGAAGAACAGAAGGAACGCTTTGTTGAGGAGAAGGATGCAGAGATAGTCACTTTGCATGAGAGAAACCACAAACTGGAAGAACAGAAGGAACGCTTTTTTGAGGAGAAGGATGCAGAGATAGTCACTTTGCATGAGAGAAACCACGAACTGGAAGAACAGAAGGAACGCTTTGTTGAGGAGAAGGATGCAGAGATAGTCACTTTGCATGAGAGAAACCACGAACTGGAACAACAGAAGGAACGCTTTGTTGAGGAGAAGGATGCAGAGATAGTCACTTTGCATGAGAGAAATCACGAACTGGAACAACAGAAGGAACGCATTTTTGTTGAGAAGGATTCAGAGATAATGACTTTGCTTGAGAGAATCCGTGAACTCCAACAAGTGAAAGAACGTTGTGTTCAGGAGATAGCCGCCTTGAAAACACCACGGTGGAGAAGATTCATTAATTTCCTTTCTTGTATCGTCCCAGATGTCCCCGACGACTACCAAGAAGGCAGCCTTGACAGTCAAACTTTAGAAAATATGATAAACAACAACAGATTTTAGTAAGACATAAAAACATTTCCAGAACAGACTAAAGCTCAAAATGAGTGAGCAATAACATATAATAACATTCAGTCAGGATATATATTTAAACAGTTAACATTTATTAGATCAATTTATTAAACATCAACAAAGGTTCCAGAAGATACTTAAGCGGCTAGAGTATCATTAGTATAGTATAGTAGTAGTAGTAATAGTATAGTTTTTTTTAGGCTAGAGTCTAGCCTCTAGGGGCAAAACAATTACCTTCATTTTAAAATTCCTTCGCTTCTAGCACTCCTAAAAAACAGGAAAAGGGTAGCTAAATAAAGATCTGGTTACATTTAAAAGGTCACCCAGAACATACTGTAGGCGATTTCAAGCCATTACAGTTAAAAAAAAACCCTGATCCATTACGCATACAAATAAATCCAGTAGAGACTTAAGCGGCTAGAGTATCGTTAGTATAGTATAGTAGTAGTAATAGTATAGTTTTTTTTAGGCTAGAGTCTAGCCTCTAGGGGCAAAACAATTATCTTCATTTTAAAATTCCTTCGCTTCTAGCACTCCTAAAAAACAGGAAAAGGGTAGCTAAATAAAGATCTGGTTAAATTTAAAAGGTCACCCAGAACATACTGTAGGCGATTTCAAGCCATTACAGTTAAAAAAAAACCCTGATCCATTACGCATACAAATAAATCCAGTAGAGACTTAAGCGGCTAGAGTATCGTTAGTATAGTATAGTAGTAGTAATAGTAGTAGTAGTAGTAGTAGTAGTAATAGTATAGTTTTTTTTAGGCTAGAGTCTAGCCTCTAGGGGCAAAACAATTACCTTCATTTTAAAATTCCTTCGCTTCTAGCACTCCTAAAAAACAGGAAAAGGGTAGCTAAATAAAGATCTGGTTAAATTTAAAAGGTCACCCAGAACATACTGTAGGCGATTTCAAGCCATTACAGTTAAAAAAAAAACCTGATCCATTACGCATACAAATAAATCCAGTAGAGACTTAAGCGGCTAGGGGTGGCCCACCCGCGGCTCTCGAGCCGCATGCGGCTCTTTGCCTAGTTTCATGCGGCTCTTCAGTTCATATCGAATTTTATATGTGTGAGTTTGGGGGAGAGACACTGACTCCTGACTAGTGTTGCACGGTGTACCAATACTTGAAAGGTACCGCAATACCCTGCCGTTAAAAACGGTACGATTCCTCAGTTTCATTAGTAACGGTACTTTAAGAATGACGGAGAAAAGTACTCCGGTGAGAAAGCGCTGTTTAATAAGAGCCGTGTGGGTTCAGCGCTCTGCTTCCACTCCCTGCACTGCAGCCGTGCCTGCAGCCCCTCCCTTCTCAAGCACGTTCTAAGTCCCTCCCCTCTCTCGTGCATGTGCTAGCTGCCAGAGCATGTGAGAAAACGAGAAGCATGGCTGCAAGTGGGAGTGCAACTGCCGCTGCGCCTCGGCCTGTCTGTAAGACATGTATTCATTTTTATTTAATACGAATTCTTGTCATTTATTTTATTTATTGTTCTCATTGTTTAAAAGTTTGTGTTATGGTTCTGGTGTGAAATAAAGCACAATAATTACATTTAAGACTGTTTCCCTTTTTTTAAGAAAAGTATCGAAAAAGAATCGGAATCGCAATTCTTGACTTGGTATCGAAACCAAAATGTTGGTATCGTGACAACACTACTCCTCAGAGTTAAACCTGATATTTAGTAGGTCTGTTAAGTATCGAATGCTGATAATTCTGACCTAATTTGGCCGGTCAAAGTTGTTTGGGCTCGGATAAAATCGCTCCGTTACTTTCGTCCCGTGTTACTTTCGTCCCGGCTCTCCCTACGTGTGTATGTGTGGTGTCAGGTGTCAGTATGAGAGGATGCCAGCGCGTCTAATTTGGATGTGGCCCAAGAGCCAATCACAATAATACCTGCGATGCAGTGAACCAATCACCTTTGAGGGGGGGAAACCTATCGTTGATTAAACATTATCCAGTGTTTCCCCTACCATTGTCTTGGAGGGGCGCTGCACCCCGCCAACGGAGCCCCGCGCCCCCCCTGAAATTCAAGGTGTTTAAAAAATATATATAATTTTTTTTTTTTAAATATATTATATAGCACCAAATTGCAAATAATCTATAACTACTGTCACTTTTCACATTGAACATGAGCTCTTTTATTAAATAAACTAAACGCTTTCATTTGAAGTTGTGAGTTTAGTGTTTTTGACCCTAAGAAACACTGATGCATTAATCAATAACAATAATCCACAGCTCCTCTCTCTGCTCCAGAGGATTAAAAAAATATATATCCCAATGCCCAAGCCCGCCTTAACCTGCCATCAGGCCCTGGGGCTTTTTTTTTTTTTTGGTTTTGTAGGTCCCCTATTTAAACAACAAATCAAAGTCCTTTATAGCCTCGGCAGGCTCTGTGATCGCACTTCTCCACTCTGCCACGCGCGCCTGGTCCTCTCCTCCAGATGTGTGACGTATCGGGCCTCCCACACGTATCTGTCCGGTTGCCGTTGGCTCCCCTCCACGTAGCAAGTCCTCGTCGTCCTCTCCATCTCCTCCATCATCCCTCCTGTCTGTTTTTCCTCTCCCGCTACTCCATCGCTATCAGAAGCAGACGGCCTACTTGGCTCCGAGGCCCCGCGGCCGGCACCGCTGCCGCTCGGTACAGAACTCATCTGTCCTTCCTCCTCATCCTGGCCTACAGGTTTAAAACAACCTGTAAGTTTCGGCATTTTTTGTAATAGCTGCTTGTCTCAAAACTACTTTTCCCTCAATAATTTCCTTTTCCGAGTGCCACTCTCAAACTTTTTCTTCTCAAACTTTTTCTCCTAAACAACCTTCATCTGTCACTCAATCACTCGCAATTTCAATAAATCACATGTGAAACATATTCTCATTCTGATTGGCTGTTAGGTGGTGCCCACTGACTGTTTCGGAGTCATCATTTTTGAGAAAAATCTCTGGAATCCATCGATCTGATTGATTAGCGGAGCAAATTATCAAAATACTACGGAGGGAAGATATTTTCGTTTGGATTACTGGTCTGGGGGAAGCTCACAAGTGTGTGTGTGTGTGTGTGTTTGTGTATTTTTGCGTTTGTGTGTATTGTGTTTGTTTCCCGGGGAAAACACTCACGAGAAACACCGGCTGTTGTCATGCCTGCTGTTAGTATTATGCCGAAGCTTCAAAGTTGTATTTATCATCTGAATTTGCCGAAACAAGTTTAATATTCTGAAAGCCAAGACTTTGTTTATTTGAAACCAGATGAAAACAAACTGTCACGGACCCTGCCGTGTTATCTAAGATTACTATACGCCTTACATTCATAATTTCAGCGGAGGGAGGGGAACAGCAGAACAGCAGAGTGTCTTCTTCCCTTTACAAGCTTCAAAAATGTATTTATCGTGTGATTTTGGAAATAAAAGTTTAATATTCTGAAAGCCAAGACTTGTTTATTTAAAAAAAAATTAAAAACATCCGAAAAAAAAAAAAAATTGGCTCATGATAGGCCCCTGATCTCCGTAGGCCCCTGGGCTTCAGCCCAGGTCAGCCCGTGCATTAAGGCGGCCCTGCCAATGCCACAAAAATGCATCAGTGACGTGGTTGAAATCTTGTCTCCAGAAAACAAAAAACTGAAACAAGCGGTATCAGTGTGTTTGATGTGGCTCTTTGCAGTAACATAGAAAAAATGTGGCTCTTAACCTCTGACTGGTTGGCCAACCCTGGGCTAGAGTATCGTTAGTATAGTATAGTAATAGTAGTAGTAGTAGTAATAGTATAGTTTTTTTTAGGCTAGAGTCTAGCCTCTAGGGGCAAAACAATTACCTTCATTTTAAAATTCCTTCGCTTCTAGCACTCCTAAAAAACAGGAAAAGGGTAGCAAAATAAAGATCTGGTTAAATTTAAAAGGTCACCCAGAACATACTGTAGGCGATTTCAAGCCATTACAGTTAAAAAAAAACCCTGATCCATTACGCATACACATAAATCCAGTAGACACTTAAACTCACAGTGATTGTGCAGTATTGCCCTCTAGAGAACATCTAGTTAGATTCAGTCTTGATATATATATATATATATATATATATATATATATGAACACTTAAAGGTGGGGTAGGTAAGTTTGAGAAACTGGCTCGAGATACACTTTTTGTTATATTTCATGGAGTGCTCTTAACATCCCGATAGCAATGAATATCTGAAGTGCTTTGACAAAATATCCATTACAAAATGTCATCTGTGGAAGCCGTGGCGCTGTAAAAAGCACGACCAATCATCTGAGCTGGCCCGGCTAAAATAACTGGATGGCCTACCTGCCTGTCAGCCTTCCATCTGTGCACAAACTTCTCTCGTGCCCTCATTGGTCATGTGCGCGTTCGTGTGTGTTGGAGGAGGGGCTCTGTAAGGAAGTGGCAGATTTTTTCCGGCTGTGTATTTTCAAATTCTAGCGCATTCTAGCTGGTTTCTCCAAAATTACCTACCCCACCTTTAACAGCTATTAGATCTGGTTAAAAAAAAAAAAAAAATTCGTTAAATATAGAAATAGTTTCCAGAAGAGTCTCAGTGTGATATGCAGTTTTAGCCACTAGGGGCAAAAAAATAACCTTAATTAAAAAAAAATAAAACAATTCCTTCGCTTCTATCACCCCTAAATAACATGAACATTTCAGGATATATATTTAAACAGTTCAAATGTATTAGATCTGTTTAAACATGAACCTGTTAAGCAACATTTTCACAAAACTGTGTCTCAGGGCTTCTTAACATTTGACAACCTGTATAGCCGTCGGTGTTCTTTTCCCAATAAACCATCCCAGATTTTAAAATATTGATCTCTAAAATCAATCAATCAATCAATCAATGTTTATTTATATAGCCCAATATCACAAATGTTACATTTGTCTCAGTGGACTTTACAGTTTGTACAGAATATCAGTATGACAATACGACACCCTCTGTCCTTAGACCCTCACATCGTACAAGGAAAAACTTCCGAAGAAAACCCACAGTTTAAAGGGAAAAATGGGAGAAACCTCAAGGAGAGCAACAGAGGAGGGATCCCTCTCCCAGGATGGACAGACGTGCAATAGATGCCGTGTGTAAATTCAAAAGATAATACATTTGCAACATAGGTAGTCCAAATGTTTGGAAATGCATGTGTGTATAATAGGAAGATGAATCCACGAGGATATCCATCCAGGACCTATGATCCAGGACCACAGCCACGACTCAAGATCCAGGGCTCGCGATCCAGGACAGAGGAGCGCAGGATCATCCATGACTCCGGATCCCGGCGTATATAGACACCAAAAAGAAAGACATTTGGGGAAGCTGGGTTAATCGGAACATGAGAGTACACAGGTATAGACAGAGAGAAGGAAGAAGTAAGATGTCCCCCGACAAACTAAGCCTATATCAGCAAAACTAGGGGCTGAATCTAATCAGCCCTAACTATAAGCTTTATCAAAAAGGAAGGTCTTAAGCGCACTCTTAAAAACGGATAGGGTGTCTGCCCGCCCGAACACAAACTGGAAGCTGATTCCACAAATGTGGAGCTTGATAAGAAAAGGCTCTGGCTCCCATTGTACTTTTAGAGACTCTAGGAACAACCAACAACCCTGCATTCTTGGAACGCAATGCCCCATCCGACCTCTGCAGCTCATCCAGAATGCAGCGGCTCGTCTGGTTTTCAACCTTCCTAAATTCTCCCACACCACTCCGCTCCTCCGCTCCCTTCACTGGCTTCCGGTAACTGCTAGAATCCACTTCAAGACACTGGTACTTGCTTACCGTGCTGCGAATGGATCTGGCCCTTCCTACATCCAGGACATGGTTAAACCGTACACCCCAGCGCGTGCACTACGCTCTGCATCAGCCAAACGACTCGTTGCGCCCTCGCTGCGAGGGGGACCCAAGTTCCCATCGGCGAAAACACGTGGGTTTGCTGTCCTGGCTCCAAGATGGTGGAATGAGCTCCCCATTGACATCAGGACGGCAGATAGCTTGCACATCTTCCGGCGCAAACTGAAAACTCATCTCTTTCGACTCCACTTCGAGCGTTAGAACGATTAACGAAGCACTTTTATACTAATAAAGGACTGGATTACCTAAAGCCAGTTGAGTAGCACTTGAAATGTTTGGCTCTATGAAACCTGATATACTTATATGATTCTGTTTTCTTCAAGGTTGTGTCTTCCTGGTCGAATGTACTTATTGTAAGTCGCTTTGGATAAAAGCGTCAGCTAAATGCAATGTAATGTAATGTAATGTAGTAGGACAGTAGGGTATAATGAGTTATTTAAGGTAAGATGGCGCCTGCCCATTAAGGGCTTTGTAGGCGAGAAGAAGAATTGTAAATTCTATCCTGTGTTCTATAGGCAGCCAGAACAGGAGTAATGTGGTCTCTTTTCCTAACTCTGGTTAGTACACGAGCCGCAGCATTTTGAATCAGCTGAAGCGACTTGACTGACTTCTTGTTACACCCTGATAATAAAGAGTTACAATAATCCAGCCTTGAAGTAACAAATGCATGGACTAGTTTCTCTGCATCGTTTTGAGGCAAGATATGCCTGATTTTTGCAATGTTACGTAGATGGAAGTAGGCGGTCCTTGAAATTGATTTTATGTGGGCGTTAAAGGATAAATCCTGATCAAATATAACACCAAGATTCCTTACAGTCTCACTGGAGGCCAAATTAATGCCATCCATAGTTAGTATATCCTTAGATAATTTGTTTCGTAGATTCTTCGGGCCAAGTACAATAACTTCAGTTTTGGTCGTGTTTAACATCAAAAAGTTTAAGGTCATCCACGTTTTTAAGTCCTTAAGGTAGTCTTGAATTTTATTTAGATGATTAATTTCATCAGGCTTGATTGATAAATATAGTTGAGTATCATCCGCATAACAATGAAAATGTACAGAATGATTTCTTATGATATTGCCTAACGGAAGCATATATAATGTGAACAAAATAGGTCCGAGCACTGAGCCCTGTGGCACTCCATGGCTAACTTTGGTTTGCGTGGAAGATTCATCATTGACACGTACAAACTGAGAGCGTTCAGATAGATAGGACCTAAACCAGTCTAAAGCAGTTCCCTGTATGCCAACTAAGTGCTCTAGTCTTTGCAATAAGATATCATGGTCGATAGTATCAAATGCAGCACTGAGATCGAGCAAAACAAGAATAGAGACAAGTCCCTTGTCAGAGGCTATTAGAATGTCATTTGTGACTTTAACCAGAGCTGTCTCTGTGCTATGATGTGTTCTAAAGCCAGACTGAAAATCTTCAAATAAATCATTGTTTTTTAAGTAATCACACAACTGTTTTGCGACCACTTTCTCAAGAATTTTTGAGAGCAACGGAAGATTGGAAATAAGTCTATAATTGGCTAAAACCTCTGGATCGAGGTTATGCTTTTTAAGAAGCGGTTTTATCACTGCTACTTTGAATGATTGTGGAACATAGCCTGATAATAAAGACATATTCATAATATTTAATAAATAAGTGCTAATTAATGGAAAAACTTCCTTCAACAGCTTAGTTGGAATTGGGTCTAACATACACGTTGATGGTTTAGAAGAGAGAATCATTGAATTTAATTGTTCGAGGTTTATGGCTGAAAAGCATTCTAGTTTACTATCTAGTGTAATATTAGAACTTACGTTTCCGGGAGCTGTTGATAACACTATACTGGTCAAAGACAAGAGGTCATTAATTTTGTTTCTAAGAGTAACAATTTTATCGTTAAAAAAGCACATAAAATCATTACTACTGAGTGCTATGGGAATAGAAGGCTCAATCGAGCTGTGGCTTTCTGTCAGCCTGGCTACAGTGCTGAAAAGAAATCTTGCATTATTCTTATTCTCATCTATTAATGAAGAGTAGTAGGCTGCTCTCGCTTTACGCAGTGCTTTCTTATATTCATTGAGAGTAATATGCCAAATTAAACGAGATTCTTCAAGTTTAGTGGAACGCCATATCCTTTCAAGTTGTCTCGACTTTTGCTTTATTTTGCGGGTTTCGGCATTATGCCATGGAGCTAATCTATGTTGTTTTATTTTCTTCTTTTTCAAAGGAGCAACAGAGTCTAATTTTATTCGCAGCGCATCTGTAGCACTATCAACAACATGATCAATTTCAATGTACATTTCAAATATGTACTGAAAGAATAACTGTATGCATTGTTTCTTATGCGCAATTACTTCATACTGTCTTTGTCTTTTTCGTCCTGCATTTATTGGGCCCCCCTCAGAAAATAACTGCCCCCCCCAGTCAAATTCAACAACTTCAGTCCTGTCTAATGCAAAAATAAATATGTAGGTAGGAACTGTATGCATCGCTAAGGTTAATTTAAATGGGCTATGTTCAAGTATGTAGACAAGCTAATGTCGAAGTAGTGTATGTGAAATCAACCTCACAATAAGATGTGTGTATATTACAATTATTAATGTCATATTTCAAGATGATTACTTAGATATTACAATATGGTTGGTTGAGCTGGAGTTCATTATTGAGCTTAAACGTTAACGTCACAGTCATCTGAAGAACGAACCCAAACCTTGTTGTTTTTATTAATTGCATTACCAAATGGGTATCAAATAAACAGTAAGCATTGGTAACACAACTTCCAAAGTTACAGGAAAATAAAAAGGACCCTGACTCGGACAATACACAATCCAACATGTTCAACAGAAGAGAATCAGTTATATTGTTTGTACACATGGTACTTTACATATATATCTGTTTGTTTAAGGTGTCCAGGTGATGCAGACAGGCTGGACCAGAGAGTGAGAGACAGAACTGGACTCCTGACAGCAGTGAACTTCAGCACAGGTACAAAGACTCTTTTTTCATACTGTACAAAGAATCAAGAAAGATATTGGTTTAAATGAATGAAGTATTGACTTGAATACACTGATATACATTCCATTAAACAATACTAAATACTAGATCACCTACATATCAGTTAAGTTGAGGGGTTTTTCCATGCAAAAAGTTACATTTTACATATTTAGCAATATGACTTTGTCAGTTTTCTAATTTAATGTATTGAAGGCAAAGATATTTAACACATAGTGAGAACTGCTACTATTTATCTCTCAATATTGTCTGTAAAAACGTGGTAAAAGTGATTCTTTCAGTGAGACAACAGAGCAAGCTTCTACAGTTGCACTACGTTTTGATAACAGTTACATATTATTTTGATAATAACATATATTTCAATGTTGATGAACTTCATACTGTTCATTCATAATCTGATTGTCTTTGTAGCTCTGTTGAAATAAAATAAAAACATTACAATTACAAAAATAATTATATCTACAGCCCCTAAACACACAAACACACCGCTTTCATAAATAACACACTTGTTCTTCAATAATATGTTTTATGTTTCCTGTCATTTTTGTTAGGAAAGGACATGACTGAAAGACAGGACATGTTCTCCTTCTCTGAGGGTCAAGAAGAACATCCAAGAGTAACATTAAAAGCTAATGTTATGAGATTTTAAGACCATCAACGTGTACCAGCGTACAGGACATTCACTAAGAAACTACTTTTATTGTAAAAACAGTCAACTGATCGAATGCAGCTATTTCCACATCTACACTCCATCAGCTGATTATTTCTATTTGTCTCACTTTATGAGCTTCACATCACCTGTGCCTTGTACCGCAGAGTTTGCAACGTCACAAATAAATGGGGCCAATCTTCAGTCAGATTTGAATGTGTAATCTAACATTTTCAGTAAGAATAATGGACGAAAGGATACAAATACAAATACAATTTATTGAAATGTGAATCAAAACTTAGTCAACATTTTTTAAATAAAAAGCACATATGGACAGAAGGTGTAAACCTATTAAATGTATAAATGAACACATTTAGTCAAATAAAGTGACAGACTAGGCCTGTGCAGTTGGTATCAGCTTTGCCCAGCATGGGCTCCTCCATCAGGCCTGGTCCTCCTCGCTGAGGAAAGACCCTCAGTCCTATCCAAACCAACAGACAGGACGTCCATCACACAGAGGTTTCTCCCTGAAGTCTCTGCAGCCCTCTGGACACCAGGCTGTCTCAATCCGTCCACACTGAATATGAGAGGGGGAAAATGAAAATAATAAATGCTTTAGACCATGGGTTCTCAAAGTTTTGATGAGTGAGGGCCAATTTAGGTACCCAATATTGGATTGAGGGCTGCCCAAGAAAAAACGGAACACAAAATAATTCCAAAACAAATCCTTTCTTTATTGTACTAACCAATTATACATACAGTATACATTAAGAACTTGCAGAGGACACAAAGTTGGGTTATCTTCAGACAATGACTAGCTAAAATCGCTAGCTAACTCCCGTTTCTGATTCTGATAACTTACAACAGATGTTCCGCTTAACCGCAACTCGCGAGATGCCTAGTTGCCATGCAACCAGTAGTCTAGCAAACTTTTCTTAAGCTGTCATTCATAATTTAGGAATGACAACCCAGGGGGTGCAGTTTTACCATTCTTAAATTCAATTATAATTCTTACTAGATACGAACCATGGAGGATTAAAATATAACGCATGCATTTCAGCGTGGCACATTAACTATCTCGGGCCGCCAGAAACATTTCCGAGGGCCGCCATTGGCCCGCGGGCCGCACTTTGAGAACCCCTGTTTTAGACAATAAGAAATATAAAGTTGACTGTTGAGTTGCTCAGTTTTTTTAGATTGTCAATACTATTACTGTATAACTAATATCTCAGGTTAAGAGGCACATTCAAATAAAGATTGGTCTTTAAATACATTTTGTCTTTTGAATTGTTTGTCTAAAGTCAAGGATCTATAACTGGTACTTAGATTTAATGATACAGTCTGGTTATCATGCTGTTTGGAGGAGCTCACAGGTAACAGCACTAACTAGCTACCATCACATGTACCTTAGCTTGACTTAAATGTATTAAACATATAATTAAGTGATATCAAAATATAAATAACTAATGTCATGCAAACATATTAATATTTGCTTGATTCCAGTGTTGAATTTAGCACAATTGCATACAAATGTTAAGGGATTTTAAGATTCTGAAGTATTATGCTAAAAACTCAATAAATTAGATTATTATTTATAGTTTTGCTGAATAGTTTCATGTCCGCTTACCTTAGAAACGTAAAATGCGACGGCCAGGTGTAATTATCATTACACCTGGGTAAAACAGAGTCCATTCTCTTCGGTTCGAAACATAATCTCAACAAATCCGACGACTTCTCAGTTGCAGTGGGCGACATTATTGTCACAAGTAAGAAGGAAATTACATACCTAGGATCTATTCTTGAGGCAAACCTCTCCTGTGACAAAATGGTATCCAATGTAATAAAAAAAGTCAATCAAAGAACTAGATTCCTATACCGGATCTCCTCTCTGGTAAACAAAAACACCCTGAAAACTCTGGCAGGAGCACTCATTCAAGGGTACTATGACTATGCTTGCACGTCATGGTACCATAGAACCTCCAAGGCGCTAAAAATAAAACTTCAAACATCGCAAAATAAACTGGTCAGACTACTGCTTGACCTTTCATCTAGAACCCACCTCACCTCTGCCCACTTTGACAACCTAGGATGGCTTAGAGTAGACGACAGAGTACAGCTACTTGCAATGGGCCTGGTCTACAAGATCCACTACACCTCTATGGTACCCATGTACATGTCAAAATTCTTCCCAAAGGTCAAGGAATACCATGATCATAACGCCAGAGGGAGCTCCACAAATCATGTGAAACCCAGATTTGGCACAAAAAAGGGGGAATACACGTTTCGCAATGATGCCACATCAAGGTGGAACGCTCTTCCCACAACTGTAAAGGAAAGTAAAACTATACTTACCTTCAAAACCTCTCTTAAAGAGCACCTTCGGGGGAGAGCATTGCAAAACTGGCCCCGGTAATGGTACAAATCTCAACCTGTCGGTCAATGGACAGCTTCCCCCCCCCATCTATGTATAT